TGAGCTTTCAGATAAAATTTACAGCTATTTAGTAAGTTATCTTATTCTTAAGCTATAGCGAGGAGAGACACTAAAAGTTTTCATTTTTAATTAATTTTTAAAAATTAATTATTGCTGTAATTAGTAAACTAACCGAGCGATTCAGCTGATCTTCGAAGTTAACCTTGGAAATCCTTCAAAAAATAAGTACGCTACGTTTTATGGAGGTCCGATAAGAATTGTGTGAGTTATAGTAGAGCCCGGTTATATCGTATCAATAAACTTTTGAGTTAATTGTATTTTCTGAACCTTGACGAGCTGAGTCAGAAAATAGCAAAATTTTTCAAAAGTTAAGGACAATTGTAATAGCTTTCTATGAAATCTACTAAAAATTTCATTGAATGGACCGGAAAATCTTTTTTTAAATATATTGATAGATTATTAGGAGCGTATTTTATGAGCTTCCAGATGGAGCTTACAGGAATTTAATAAGTTATCGAATTTAATAGTAATTGCTTCAAGACCCACTAAAACTCACTATTTTATTAAATTTAAATACTTTTAAATAGCTGTCATTTTTAAACTTATTGATCTAGCGAAATAAATAGCTATGTAAATAAAAGGTTATTTAGTGAGCTTTCAGATAAAATTTACAGCTATTTAGTAAGTTATCTTATTCTTAAGCTATAGCAAGGAGAGACGCTAAAAGTTTTCATTTTTAACTAGCAACCTTGCAGTCACTATGTGACTGCCCGTGACTTGTGAACTATAAATAAATAAAATTTCGCTCTATTAAATAATGAATTTTGTTAAATTGTACTGTACTTCCTTAAATATTGACGCTTCTAGAGATATAAGCTCATCCCGATGTTACACTCATCAAGAGCTTCTATTTGAATACCCACATGCCTTTTTTGATATATTTTTCATATATACATATATATATAATATATATAAATATATAAAATATATGAAAAATTAATGTGGGTACTCAAATGAAAGGTCTCGATGGGTGTAATGTCGGGATGAGCTTATTTTTTTAAAAATGTCAATAGTTCACGAGATACAAGGTCATTTCTTAATTAATGAAAATTAATTTAGCATATATTTAATAATTTAAAAAAATTTATAACAAAAAAATAATGGCAAAAAAAAATTTTTAAAAATGAAAAAAATGTAATTTTTTCTAAATAATTCTTTTTTCTAAATTTAATAACATATTTAATTTTTATATATTTTTCATATATACCTATATATAATATATATTTTATATAAATAAGCTCATTCCGATGTTAGACTCATCAAGACCTTTTATTTGAATACCCACATCAATTTTTCATATATTTTATATATTTATATATATTATATATATGTATATATGAAAAATATATCAAAAATGCATGTGGGTACTTAAATGAAAGGTCTCAATGAGTATAACATCAGGATGAGCTTATATCTTTAAAAATGTCAATATTTCACAAGACACGAGGTCACTTATAGCTTTCTATTAAATCTACTAATAAATAAATTAACCCGAATAAAAAGAGCAAGATAAAAATGTCAACAAGGTTTGTACACATTTGTATAACTACCCTTAAAATCGCCAACCAACGATTAATTGTTATGATAAGCTAACACGATATTATGTCACACGTTTAAAAGCAAGCTACGGTCACTAACCGCCGTAACTAATTACTAACACGATCTTAATAATTATAAAAAAAAAGTAAGTTTAATACTATTAAAAAAAAAAAGGAAAAAATAAAAGCAGAGCCTGACTCAATTACGGAAATTCAGTAAACAGTAAACGTCAAACAGTTCGAATAAAGTTTGCTGTGAAATAAGTTTGAGAACCACCTGACGTAGAACCAGAAGGGGAGGAAGTGTCTGATCCCATACCACTTAAAACAGTTTCATCCCTTTCTAGCATTCTGTGTAATTGTATGACTATAGAAGCTTCTACCTCTACTCGGTTAAATGTATTCAACATTCAACCTCTTGTTCTCGTTCTTCTTGCTCAATATTATCTACCTACCACTAGCTCACTAATACAGACACTGAATATACAACTGAGACTACGAGTCAGCAACCTTTCTTCAATTTACATATTATTTTTCTTGTTCCATTCTCTATTATTCCTCTCAGGCAATCCATCAGGCCATCAGACTGGATTATCCAATATCAATTAAATTCGGCGTATTTTTTAAGTACTAATCCACGGAATTTAGGGTAAAGCTTCCAAATATTGACCATTAAAAATTTCAATTGTAATTTTAAAAGAAATTAATTGGAAGCTAATAGGCAAAACATTTATTTAAAATTACAATCGGGTATAGTAATATTACAAAACATAACTATTTAAAACTCCTACAAAAACTTTACATAAAAAATTGACTACTGAAAAATATATAAAACCAAAAGGCACTAATTCTTATCAAGACCTTTCTGATGATACCAAATTAAACTATAAAAATTCCTTTTAAAATAATAATATCATCGTCACAAAATTTTCCTTAACTTTTATTTTAAATCTACAATAGTACGTTTGTTTTTTTAAATCTTTAAATCTATATAAGTTTTTTAGTAATTAAACAAATCATTTATTAAATATTATATTAATCTGATTAAATAAATAGTAGTTTATAACTTTGGGAAAATATATTTAATAACAGTACGATTGAATGATATTTAAATGAATGCCCAAAAAGCTCACTAATATTAGGTACATTAGATTATTTAAAAAGATATATTATTCACCTGACCTATTATTTTAATTATTAACATCATTTTAGTAGCTTTAATTTTCAATAACTAATCTTTAATATTTTATTATTTTTCCAAATACTTATTGATTATAAAGTTATTGAATATAAATTTATTAACGTACCAAAGACAAGGTTAAGTTATAATTTTCACAGTTTTATCAGTACCTTTTTTTTATCATAAAAATTCCGTATATTTCTTTGCAAATTTTTATTTCAAGTATAATTAAAAACTCACAACCTGCAGTGTTGTGACTGCCGAGAATTAAGGATTATAAATAAGACAACTGGCTTAATGATTTTTTGAATAATCACACACTTAGTTTGGGTACTTTTGAAATAAATTTTAGAAATAATAGAGCTATCAGAGGATTAATTAAAAATAATTTAATGGACAAATGTGACGGAACAAATTTATAGAACCAACAAACTATTAAAAACTCCTCCAAAAACTTTACATAAAAAATTGACTACTGAAAAATATATAAAACCAAAAGGCCCTAATTCTTATCAAGACTTTTCTGATGATACCAAATTAAACTATAAAAATTCCTTTTAAAATAATAATATCCTCGTCACAAAATTTTCCTTACTCTCTTAATTATTTAAATCATAAATGACTATCGCTGAAAAAATATCAAAACCAATTTACGATAAAGATATACCCGTTACTAAATTTTTCTCAGTCTCTTAATTATATAAATTAATTTTTGACATATAACCACATTGACATCTACAAAATAAAATAAATAAATATAATGACGTTTATCGCGAAATTCTAATCTATTTATAACTACTTTGAAAACTTATCATAATAAATGAACTATTTTAGAAAAGGAAATAAAACATTGAAATGGCACTAATTCAGGTGTCGACCTTTCCAATTAACTAAATTTAATTTAAAAAACTTATTTTATCCTAAATACGCCACAGATAAAATTTTCCTTATTCTCTTCATTGTATAGATAATCTAAAATAAAATAAAAATTTTAAACACTTATTAAATTAAATTAAACATTTAAACCTTCCCGGTTTTATGAAAGTTTTTTAAACTCTCTGTAAGATGGCGTTGCGCACCGGATCCAGAACTACGTCACTCTCCCGCCAAAATTCAAATTTAAAAAATAATTTCTAATTTAAAACTTATCTAGACAATTATTACATTCTTGAGCTTTCCAATTCTACTAAATTTTATTTAAAAAACTTATTTTATCCCAAATTCGCCACAAATAAAATTTTCTTTATTCTCTTAATTGTATAGATAATTTAAAAATTTTAAACACTAATTAAATAAAATTATACAAAAATTCCTTATATTTCTGCGTAAATCCAAGTATAAAATAAAATCTCCTTTTATTTTTTGCAATCTGGTCAATATTTGGTTTTTCTACCCATGAATAGAAAATGGAAATATTACAGAGTACTTTAAATCCAAAGGGAGCAAGGGAGCACGAGAGCAAGCACGAGCATGCTTGATGACTAGCAACAAAGCCGCCGAATAATCGCAATTCCAGGCTCAGATACAGATATGGCAAGCATGGCATGTTACTAATCCCTATTGGAGCTTACATTTGGGTTAGGCATCTGCAGAAATTCGCTAAAAATTCAACGTTCAATTATAATAATTGAAACACTTGTTCTAAAGTTTTAATTAAACGGTAATGGAAAAAACAAGGGAAAAACTTTTCGAGGAACTAAGGATAAGTAGTTATTTAAAGCATGAACCTTGAATAATAATAATAATAATGTATTTATAGAATAACGTAATCATAGAATGAGTGAATTACGGCCCTGGAAAACAGGGGGATGCAATTCGGGGGGTGCCTGTTGTTAGGTGGAGCCATCTGTGGCAGTTCGCGGGAACTTTGTCTTAAAAATGATCCCCCCCGGATCAATACTCACCACGAGCTTCGCAGCAGACGATGCTGAGCCACGGGGATCTTTTCTCTCACTTCGACCCTTTCTTTTCCTTTTTTTTCCCTCTATTTCGCTCATTTTTTTTGCTTTATCTTTTTTGCTATCTCCTATTTTCCGTCTGCGTAGAACCGAAGCTCCTTCAAAGTTAACAGGAAACTCTCGCCCTTGTGTACTACTAAAATCGATAGGATATTCGCCCTCGAGTATACTGTATTGAGGAGGCACTACTTCCACGTAATGTCTGACTCATTAACTAACTTTAATGCTCCGCACTTGCAAAATTTATTTATTGTTTATTAATATTGTTTTTTTTAATTAATATGCGCATGTTATAATTATTCAATGATACAGTAATTGATTTCTGTAAGTTTTTTCAATTATAAATCAAAACAATTATATTTTTGTTAACTTAAAAGTCGAGAATAGCCGATAGATTATTTTTTTCATGAAAAAGATACTAAACCGTAAACCGAACAATCAGTAAAAAAAACGGTATATTATTTTAAGTAAAAAAAATTGTACCACCCAATGAAACAGTCTTTTCTAAATAATACATATTTTTTGCAAAGACATAAACTATAATTTTTATATTAAATTTTAGCGTTTAACTATACCTCGAAATTTTAAAAGCGGTACCCATAACCTGAACAAGCTGGGGCTGGATAATTTTAACAGCACTAATCTCTGATAGGTTTATAGACTAGTGATCAGCATTGTCATTTGTATTAATTACTGCAAATTAAATAAGTTTTATAGCTAAAAATTAGTGCAGTTAAAAATTATTGAACGTTTTGAATAGAGTTTTTTTGATTTATAATTGAAAATTTGCTTTGTCATTCATCAAAAATGTAATTAAAAAATTAAATACAAATATTTATCATTTTTAAATGAACATATTAAATATCGATAGTATTATTTTTAATATTCATCAATAATATGTTATAATTCTTTAGATATTTCAATAAAACGTTGAAAATTTTTGGTGTGCCTATTGGCATATATTTTATTAGTTTAACTACTGCTCCCGGAGTGTTAAACTACTAAGGCTTGTCAGAATTGATTGTTCAACTACTACTCCTTTGATCGACTATCTTAAAATCGTTGTCAAAATATAAAAATTCAATTATCTTTGTTATTTTGCTAATCAATTCAAAATTGTTTATATTTTTATGAAAATCACTAATTTGAACTAATAATTACATCTTTATTTATTAAAAGTAGGGTCAAATACGTAGTAACTATGAAACCTGTTTAACTACTGGGTACTGTGCCTTATATCTACTTGTTAACTTCCTAAAAAATAAAAAACTCATAATTCCAGCTCTAACTTCTAAAAAATATTAATTTAATTAAAAAATAGTACCCTAGAAAATTTCTTATTAACGTAATTATCATCACTCTCAAAGAAACCTTTCTATCAGCAGAAAAAAAGCAATGTGAAGACCCACGGGGCTGGATATGGAGGTCATAGTTTTAAGCTTGACTTTAAGTAAGACAATCCCTCAATTTTTCTATTTCTTTTTATTCATCTATAAATTTTTTCCGTGCCCGAGCTTTCGCTTGCGGGCTTTCCTCGTGTCGTCTTTCTTGTCCTGCGGCTTCTAATGACATAATTCAATTTCAAGTGTTTCTCGACGCCCTGTGAGTTATTGTATTATCTTGCATACTGCACAACTAGCAAACTTTCAATATTATATTTATTCCTCAAAGCTCAAGAGTTAACTCTAATAAATAAAATAACAAAAAAGGTTCACCTAAGCCAAGAAAATATTTTTCTTTATAATTATTTTCTCAAGCGAAAAAAAAAAATTTTTTTTGACCCTACTTTTAACATATAAAGATGTAATTATTAGTTCCAATCAGTGATTTTCATGAAAATATCAACAATTTCGAATTGATTAGCAAAATAACAAAGATAATTGAATTTTTATATTCTGACAACGTTTTTAAAATAGACTATCAATGGAGTAGTAGTTGAACAATCAATTCTGACAAGCCTTAGTAGTTTAACACTCCGGGAGCAGTAGTTTAACTAATAAAATATATGCCAATAGGCACACCAAAAATTTTCAGCGTTTTATTGAAATAACTAAAGAATCATAACATATTATTGATTAATATTAAAAATAATACTATTAATATTTAATATGTTCATTTAAAAATGATAAATATTTGTATTTAATCTGGTGTTTGACGACGTGAGCGATGATTCTCAGCCTATATCGTCAGTGTCACCTTTAATTAACCAGCCATCCGAGCCTCATCAACCTCAGCCTCCTCAATCACAATCTCACCCCTCAACGGGCTCGAAAATAATCGAGAGCACCAGCCAGAGCCCCTTTCCAGAGGCTAATGTAACCACCACCGTTGGGCATGTTTTCAGATTCAAAGTACCAAAGCACGCCTTCGGTGGGAGCGTAAATCACTACGAGGTAAGTGGTCATTGTTTCTCGAGCTCGATTTGGCGATCAGCCAGCTGAAGCTGGGTCGGGGATATTTTTCCGATCTGTATGACCTGGAAAATATTCCGCCTACTCGATATTAAAATATAGAAATAAATAATAAAAAATAAACAATAAATGTCTCCAGATACGGAGCAGTAACAACAAGCCGTTGCCTCACTGGCTGTTTTACGATGAGGCAACGACCACTCTGCTGGGTGTGCCCGCTAAAAAAGATGTAGGCCAGCATCATTTATCCATAAAGGCTTATTATACGTACGGAGATGTCGTTGAGAGTTTATTTACCGTCAAGGTCCTTCCGGAAAAGACTGATGAAGTTAAACATAAGGATGGAAAGGTATCAAGCTGTTGTTGTTATTAGTAGACTTTATAAAAATCTAATTAAGGTAAAGTACCCAGTAGTTGAACAGGTTTCAAAGTAAAATGCATTTGACCCTACTTTTAATATACAAAGATGTAATTATTAGAAAATTAGTGATTTTCATGGAAATATAAATAAATTTTAAATTGAAGCGCAAAATAACAAAAATAATTTATATTTTGACAACGTTGTTAAGATAGACTATCAAAGAAGTAGTATATTGTTAACTACACTAATTTTTAGCTATTAAACTTATTTAATTTGCAGTAATTAATACAATTTACAATGCAGATCACTAGTTTATAAACCTATTAGAGATTAGAGTGCTGTTAAAATTATCCAGCCCCAGCTTGTTCAGGTTATGGGTACCGCTTTTAAAATTTCGAGGTATAGTTACACGCTAAAATTTAATATAAAAATTATAGTTTATGTCTTTGCAAAAAATATGTATTATTTAGAAAAGACTGTTTCATTGGGTGGTACAATTTTTTTTACTTAAAATAATATACCGTTTTTTTTACTGATTGTTCGGTTTACGGTTTAGTATCTTTTTCATGAAAAAAATAATCTATCGGCTATTCTCGACTTTTAAGTTAACAAAAATATAATTGTTTTGATTTATAATTGAAAAAACTTACAGAAATCAATTACTGTATCATTGAATAATTATAACATGCGCATATTACTCATAATAAATATATGGATTTTGTATTACAACAATTCGAAAAGTCTGTTCTAGTACTGGTCCCATTTTTATAAGTGTTCAAGTACTGGGTACTTTACCTAATAAAAAAAGGTATCAAATATTAAAGAGAAAAACTTTCTCAAGGTTTTTTCTGTGGATTCTTAAAAAACTAATCAATCTATTTGTAACAATGAACAATTACAAATGCATAAAAAAAAATAGCAAGAGTGCTCTGCACTTTTAATAGTGCTAGAGTACAAAAGTACAGTGCAGAGAAAGAGGCGGGGGTGAAAAGCAGAGACGGGAATTTTAGTAAGCGGCTTACAGAGGGTTGAATGTTACCTAACGTCAGGAGCGTCAGTTTTAGCTGTACGTTGACGTCAAACTATAAAAAAAAAAATATTGAAGTTTTTTTTTTTTTTAATAAAATTAAAAAGAGAATTTTCAGGCCATCAACAAGTCTCTTTGAAGTTTTTATTATATTCAATACTGAATAATAATAATAATAACAGTCGAAAAAGCTTTTTTCAACAACGCCATTACCCCACATTAATATTGATCCGAGAATCGATTTGTTCTGCTGCGCAGAAAACTTGGAAAAGCTCTCGCTCTTGGGCTTTAAATGTACGAAAGTAAGTTTAGAGTTAAGTACCAAAAAAGAATGAAAATAAGGTTGCTCTAGGACTTGAATGGATCGATCAAATCCGGCACTTACGCATAAGAATACGTCACATACTCTTTTTTATATCTGGACTGAGAGAAAAATGTGGTCTTTAAATAATACGATTTAATGTGGGAAAATGTTGGAATCTTGATTTTTAAATAAAATAAATGCAATTTTTAAAAATTGCATTTATAGTTTTATTACTTTTAAAAATCGCCAACTATTTTAGGATTATTTTCAACGAACTTTAAAAAAAAATTCCGGCGAGTTTTTATGAATTTTTTAAAATTATAAAATTGTCAGATCATTTAAAACTTGTGATATGAAAACTAACGATTTAATGTAACTAATCGTTGGAATCGTTGATTTTTAGGCTACACTGAGAGAAAAATCTGGTTCTCTGAACTAGCAAAATCTAGTTAAATAGCATCGCCACTATTTAATTGAAGTTCTTATACCTAAAATAATAAATTATATTGAACCCCAATAGATAGTTACTTAAACAATTTTTAGTTAAATATGGGCTTAATAGTAATCTTTATAAACTTTAACTCAGAAAACAGAAAAAATAATTGTTACAGCCCGGACCGGGAATCGAACCCGGATTTTTTGGTTGCGCACCAACGGCTCGGACAGTTAAGCTATCTTCGTAGTCCGTAACAACCTTTAGTCACCTAATTATTTTTTTAACACGATAACAGAAAAATATTTATTTAAATACAGTCCATGTAACTATTTATCAATAGTTACTTAACCTAATGCATAGTTCGAGTAACTACAAAAAAAACGTTTAGAAATATTTTAACAATGTAATTATTTTTTCTTTTTTTTTTTCTCTCAGTCTTTAAATTTAATATTTTATTCAGAAAAATATATTATCTTCTTTCTAATAAATATAAAATTTACTTCCATCTCGTCTGCCAAATAGCACTTTTATTTTATCTCACGTATTTTAATTCTAAAATTATTTTTTTCAGCTGATTGGCTGCAACACCCCAGAGCCGGCGATTGATCTTGATAATCGGTATCGTTTGATGCGTCACGAGCAGATGCTGGATGCACAAGGAAATCCCACGGATAAATTTATTAAAGATTCAAGAGTTTATTCTTTTGAAGAATACATTGAAATTCACAATCTTAATCAATAAACAATGTATTGTTTTGTACCCAATCAGAATAATAAACATTAAAAGAAAAAAAATAATAATAATAATAATAAGAAACTCTAGAAGATTTAACGAACCAAGAAGATAACACTCGTCCAACAAAGAGCTTCTTGTTTGAGGAATAATTTTAAGCACACTTGAGTCTATCAATCCGATTAAATCCCAACTTTTAGCTTGTAAAAATCGGATTTAAATTAACATTGAAAGGTTCAATCAATATTTTGTTCTTTGAAATTTTCTTAATCCAGAAAATATTTAAAAATAAAATAAATTATTTGGTAATTCTTCTTTGAGTCGGTAACTTATTTATCTTGGAGCTACAGAGGTAATTAGTTTCAAATGATCGAGTTAATAAGATTGTAGGGATGCCCGATGTTGGTAAAAAACATCCACGCCGGACTATCGATTGTGTTTAATTTATTGGGATCGGAGCATCGATCATTTATTTAAAAACATCCGACACATTGGTTGTTAATATTGATGGTAAGAACAAGCGTTTAAATTTGAATAAATTATAGCTAACGATCTAAAAAGATAAATCCAAATTAGAGGTGTTAATTTTGAATTATTATTCTTTTAAATAAATTATATCTTGGACATCGAAATTTATTTTTTTGTCAATAGATAAATTACTGGTATTAAAATATTTAAGCAAAATTTTTTATCTCTAGAGTTATTTATTTGTCAAAAAATTCACGCTCTTACTATTTGGTAGTAGAAGAAAAATTTTCAATAAATTAATAACTAAAATAATATATCTGATGTGAATAGTTGCGTTGTGGTATCACTTATTCTCAACAGCGCAGTTCGATCAGGGTTCGAGCCCAGTCGTCGGGTTAAAGTTGCATTATTTTTTATTTGTAAGAAAATTAATATTCTCAAGCTAACATTAATATCTAAATTCTATTTATTCAATACCATTAATTAAAATAAAGTTTTTGTCGTTAAAAATTTTAAGGTAGTTTCTCGGTGAAACTTCTCGACAGATTTTGTTAATTTATTTTTTCACAGTTTACGAATAACGTTAATAAGGTTAATACTTCACTCAATATTTTGTCTTTTAAAATTTCTTAATCCAGAAAATTTTTTTAAATTAAATAAATAGAATTAAGATATGTAATATTAGTTTGAGAATATTAATTTTCTTGAGAATAAAAAATAATGCTTTTACCCGAGACTGGGCTCGAACTCTGATCGGACCGCGCTGTTAAGAATGAGTGATACCACTTCGCCACTGCTGATGATTTATTGAGGTAGTCCCTCTTTAGAATTAAGTTAAATTCGACTTAAAAAGGTTCTACTGTATCACAGCCCGGCAAAAATTCAAATCGAAAAGACTAGACAGTCCTTCAGTCCGCCATTTTGTTTCACTAGTCTGCCATTTTGTTTTCCAATAAGAGATGCGGTAAACGTTGAAAAGGCCATCAGGAATTGTGTAGAGCATGCATTAGACTCTAGCACCTCTAACCAGCAAGAGAACAAATTTAAATGTTTAATTATTTATTATTAATAATAATATTTTGTTGCCTCCCTTGTAAATAACATATCCAAGCTGAGAGTAATCAAGAGGGAGTTTAGCTCTTACATGGTTGTGTGTATGAGTAACAAGAAGAAAGAACAAAAGTGTGAATGTGTGTAATCTAGATATGCTCTACAAAGCTTTTGGAGGTTATGTAGGCAGAAAGCTCTTTAGTAAGTTGATAAACTTGTTTCATTCTTACTTCTTAAACAAAAAGTTCAATTTATAAAATTCAGTTAAAAAATGTTAAATATCAATATAAAATAATATATTTTAATCAAGCTACATCCTTTCTTTTATGAAAATGTCTTCTCTTATCGGACCAATCAGAAAACAGAAGAGATAGAGAAAACATAGTTACTCCACAAATAAGAATAATCGATCTAAAACTAGACACCTGTTAAGGACGTCTCTCGGTAATCGAATATTCTTATCTCCGGTGTGAAATTCAATTGGTCCCTCTGCTCTTATTATTTCCATCCAATCGTTGGTTCGAGCTATTCCAGGGATTCTCATCTTAATGCAACGCTGTTTTATCATTTTAGAGGACAAAAGGTGGGAAACCCGATGATACAAAGATAACTAGCACCAGGTGTTTGATGCACTCTAAATGATCCCAACAGCTGGTCTACACCAAAAACTAACCAGACCGCCATGTTATGTATCTTTAGGGAACGAATAAGGATAAAATAAACTATTTCATTTTATATTGTGATATGTTGATACCGTTAGATTATGCAATGGGAAAGTACAGTAAAAGTCTACTTAACTCGTTTTACTTGCCATGGCTGCGCCCAACAGACATGTAATGTGTCTTTAAACTAGGTCCAATAGTTCTCACAATATTTTATTATTTTATCAATAGTAAAAGGTTAATTATTTAGAGATCTAGATATTCTAAGTCTTATTTCGCAATTTTTGGCATATGTTTTATTGCCTGTAAGCAAGAATGCGCCCAAAATTCTTTGCCGATCTTTATGAAACTTAGTGTACTTATTCTATGAATCAATACCAAGATCCAGTTTAAAAATTAGCTTAATTCGCCAGTTAGTTTACGATAAATAATTTTAAACAATTTTTGATTGTATTTATAGGTAGAGATAAGAATTATTCCGAGTACGTGATTCGAGTGAAAGCAAGATGATGATTATCTCGCTATATATGTTCTCGTCTATTTCTAGAGTACTAGACTGTCCAGAATATATGTATAAGCACAAGTATCTTCGGGTATTCAACTCTTTTACACTTACGGTAAAAAGAAACAAAAAATGACTGGCCTTTGAAATCTAAAAAGTATTGAGAATAATTAACGAAAAGAATAAAAAAAAAATACAAGACACGTGCCGAAAAAAAAGTAATACGGAAGTTTGGGGGTTACAGGAGAGCCTTTGCAATAATTTGCAGCTGCTCGGGCCACCTGGCAGCAGGACACTTTTTTGATTGTTAACCATCGATGCTGCAGAATATTTTTATAGTAGTAATCTATACAGGGGGCCGGAAAATAACTTGGAATATACTTTCTGAGAGTAATTTTTGTTTCGAGATTTAAACAATATCAACAAGGATAAAGAAAGGTGATATTGTTACTTGTAGCGGACTAGCGGGGGAGAAAAAAAAATATTTTGTGAAGGTAAACGAATGCTTGGCCTTGGCTCGGCTTTCTGAAATCCACGGCCAACATTATGTTACACACATTTTTTATTTACTCCCTTTCGACGCTCCAGGGCCTGAGTAACGATTAATAAAAAAATTATAGAGTTTTTAGATTAATATTGAAAATGAGAGTTATTTTAAGATTAAGGTCCAAAATATGTTTAAAAAAATTAAGTATGAAATAAAAAAAAAATTATCAATATTAGATGTGAAGAATAAATAAAATTTATCAGGAATAATTTTTAAATTACTATGCAAGTATTATTGCATGTTTGCATTGAGGATAAGATACTATTAAAAAAGTTAATTTAAAATAAACGCTCGGAAAAGATTTATTGATGAATTTTGTTTAATTTTCAGTCACCAAATAAATTAAAATTCATCAAAAGTCGACGAATAATACCTTTAATTGAAGATAATTATGTAAAATTTCAGATAAATTGAATAAATTTGTATCTTTAACGGGTGAAAAATAATTTCGATAAAATAGTAAAAATACGAAATTTTTCTAAAATGACAAATGTTTAAAATAGCCACAACTCGTAAACTAACCGGCGGATTTAGCTCATCTTCAAACTGTATCTCGGTATTGATTCATAGAATAAGTCCACTAAGTTTCATAAAGATCGGCAAAGAACTTTAGCCGCAATCTTGCTTACACCCCAAAATTGCTATAAGACCTACAATATCCAGACCTCCTTATAAATCTACCTAGCTTCAGAAAGTTAATAAATTCTTGCAGGTAAGACAAAGGAAAAAATGGCGAAATATCTCACCGCGCCCAACGTGAAAGATCGGCGATCGTTTGTAGAGTAAAGAGGAAGAAGGAAAGAGGAAAAGTGAACAAGTGAGTGGGAGAACTGTCAGAGCGGTACCACGTGCATCGACCAACCGTGACGAGCACGATCTCTCTCGTTTTTGCTATTTTTTCAGTCTTTTTGTTGTTTAAAACTAAAAAGACGCGGAAGTCGCTCAAGATAAATAATACAATTGGTTGTGAACCGCGAGAAAATTTTCCGAGAGGTTTCACATCGCTCTACTTAGTCTTTCTTTAAAATTATTGCTAGTTTATTTATTATATTTCCATTACTTTCACTGCAGCCATATAAATGTCCATTCAAAGTTTTAATAATTTATGAGAATATAAATAGAGTCTTGGGAGTTTATTATTTTCCAACCGATCTTGAGGATGAAATAATTGGTGTTATAAAGAAAAATTTGACAAACTTGATAAAACTTTATTCAATTCTTGTTATTACAATATTTTCTATTACAAATTTTCGTTGTAATGAAATATTCATTAATGCACACTTTGAGTTCTGTATACTATTTGAAACACGAATAGTTTGCTGATATAGAAGTTGAGAAAAAATAGAAATGTTTTGATTTAGCTGAATATTCTCTTTATTTGAGACACGTTAATGTAGTAATCAAAGATCGTACTAATAGTAAAGATATTTTTCAAAAACTACAGAAAGTGTAGTGTTAACGCCTAAACCGTGCAATCAAACGTTCAACAATAAATGTGCAAATTCCAATAATTTGACATATCATAAACGCTATATATGCGTAGTATAGATTGGCTTCGGTTATTTCATCGTAATCATCTAGTTGATTGATTCTATTTTTAGCTTTTATTGTTTTTAATACATTACGTTCCCAATCTCTGTCGAATTTATCATTAAAACCAGATTCAACGGTGTTTAAAATTCTTTCGTAGACTCGGTCGTTTAAAGCCCAGTCTTTACGGGACCAAACAAAATTATTTTTTATGAAAACAAACTTGCTGGAGACATGTAGAATTTTATTCAGAGCCGTTTCCAATATTATATGAGATGTATATACGCAGGCTACAGTATTATTTTTACTAGCTAGTTCTAAACAATCGTCGGGATTGTTTTTGTCTAACGGGTGAAGATATTTCATATCCTCAACAGTTGTCCACAATCGCTCGTTTATAAAATCTTTCCGGATCCCTTTGTAAAAATAAACATGGTACTGATGATCATGCAAATCCTTAAGATTCTCGATGGTATAAGATTGTGGTCGTGTTAATAGAGCAAACAGTTGAGATTCAATTGCAGGCTCAAAAACAAACATAAAAAAGGTCGCGGTAAAGAACAGAAACATCATAGACAACCGAACAAAGGGTGTGTCCATATCCATACTTAATAAAAGTTTGAATACATCGAGAAATGCCGACCCTACGTGATACCTATTGTTTACCACTATTACGATAAAGATAAGCGATATAATACTTTTTATTGCAAAAAGTGTCCGATAATCTAACATAGCGATAACCTCACGGAAAGAGTAAGTAAATGATCTTTTTTGAGTAATTATTATATAATGAAATTCGTAAAGCACTGGTATTATGTTTACATCCTTATTAAATACATCAATGTGATAAAAACCCGCAGCAATATCTTCGTCACCAAGTATCAGAAAACCTGCGTTTGTCTGATGACCACAACATTCGTCATGTGGATGAACCTTTACTTGCATGTTCAAACTTCGAAATACAGGTCTCAGAGACCCTATTTGTCCATGGATGCCTGTGATTATTTTAACTGGATACCTATCCATAAATTGAGTTTTATCAAATTTGAGGGTCTTGCATATTTTTGGATCTGCGAAGAAAGAGAAAAAGTTTCACTAATTATAAAATCAGTAGTTGCGATCAAAAGAAATAAGAAAAGTTTACCGTTTATGAATGCTTTCTTATAGAGCGTCCATCGTCGCTTAGAATTTTCTTTGTTTCTAACCGCAACCCACGAATCCGTTGCTCGATTTGTATAAGGATTATAAGTGTAGAGCATAGTTTGATTGTTGGTTTTGGAACACACCACGAAGGATGACAGTAGTTCAAATTTCCACATTTCTTCCAATATCACAGCACTGTCTCGACAAAATTTGTTAGCCTTGCCGATAACGAAAAATGTTGACTTCATATTCCAAAACGGTGATGATTTCAGCAAAATCAGAAGGTTCTCTAGTTGTTCAGTCGTGTCTGCTGACAAGATGTAGAGTGGATGTGTCGGATAATAAAGTTGAGTGTCTTTCGGGAGAAAGTCTTTATTAATTACAAGTATAGGTTATTTTTCTGTGCTGATTAGATCATCAGACATGCTGGCCACCAAATTTTTAGTTATGGCGACCGGATTCGATGCGCCAGAATAGCACAGTTTCAATAGTTGAGTCTATAAATAATAAAACAAATTGATTTAGTTGAAGCTCTGGATAGTTTTCAAATTAATTTTATTATTGATGACGATGATTCATACACGGAACTAAATAGTCTGTGTCAGGATTGTTAGAGTTGTCGGACAGTGCATGAGCAATTCCTGATCTATCACTACTCTTTTAATAAAAACAACAAAGATATTTATCTATTATATGGTGACTTCCATTAAAATTTGTTGATGAAAATTTAAAAATTGTTTGTAAAAAACTACCGCCAAATAGTAAAACTGTCTTAATAGTTTTCAAGGGTAACGGTCGCTTATTTATCAAGTCAAAATTTCTTAGGTTATAATTTATCAGCAATAAATTATCAGTTAAATATTTATCAACATCATAATTAATTTTTTCCCAAAATTGATCCTAAAGTAATGGATCATCGGTAATGTGTTTATTCCAACACTGTAATCTGTAATAATTTATCTCGACAAATATTTCTCATGCAAAAATTAACATAAAAAATCATATGTTATATTTTCTAGTAGACACACAGTCAAATCTTGTTGAAAGGGCGCTACATAATAACGCGCGTGTGTGTTGGCATATTTTTGAGTAAACGCACATTCAAATCTTGTTAAAAGGGCGCTGAATGATTACGTGCATTGGGGTTTTACCCCAAGATACTAAATTAGATATATTTTTATTTTAGGAGAAATTTTAGTAAAGATGTTTTTTAATTATGAGAAATTATTGCATGAGAAATGATTACTGTTTAAAAAAAGACAAAACTGTTTTAAAGAACTCAAAAATTTTCAATGTATTCAAAATGTAACCACATATTATCGATAAAACGAATTAAATTTTTGAATAAGTAATAAAAAAATAAGTTCTTACCATATTTGAATACAAAACAGGGTTAATACCTTATATTGTTATTGAAACTAATTACAAAGACCGTCTGAGGTGAATGACTCCCGATCTAGTCAAACAACTCGTAGTCATACGCACTCCCAAGAGTGAGAGGAAAATTTAATATTATTTTGTTAATTTTATTCACTATGACGAAAATAATAATAAAAAATTAGCTCATTCAAACAATAAGTGCGTGTCACGAGTCAGCATTTTTTTTGCAAGACAATAAGTAATAAGTAGAACTTAAACAATTATAATTAAACTTCTAATCGACAGTATTGAATAAAAAGGTAAAACAAAGCGAGGTTTTGTTTGTTGTCTTTATACCGGTATGATAAATATTTTATAATTTTTATCGGGTTGAACAGTAAAACTTAACCTAACCTAACGAGTCTTGCTGAGAGTCCCTTCCATTCCTGTTTTTTTTTTTTTTTTTTTTGCAAACCTCTCTCCTTTTTATCTTGTATTTTTATTCTTCATACATTATATGTTGCTTTATAACTTTGTAAGTGTAATAATATACAGAAAAAAAATAAATTTTATCAAGATAATTATTTTGAAGAAATTTAAGGTCTTAAATTTAAAAATGCAAAATTTGAATTCACAATTTAATTTTTATTATTGATTTAAAAATTGGCCCTAAATGTAGAAATTTTTTTTGTTCAGTTAAAAAAATTTTAATCTTCAAAATTAATTGATAAATATTTGAGAAACTTTTTTACAAGATAATTTTTTGAACAAAATTAGTTCTAAATAGTTTTAAATTTATTGTTTGTAATCAATGAATTAAGTTATACATTATTAGTATTAATATTATTTTATTAAAAATAAATTTTCTTTATTTGAGAAATCTACTTCCATTTCGGCAGCCGAATGGCCTTTTTTTAATTTTTATTATTGATTTAAAAATTGGCCTTAATTTTTTTTAGTTTAAAAAATTTATAAAAATAAGCTTGGTTCAAAATTTATTTAAAAAAGTTTTATTTTAATTGAAATTTTTATTTTTTACTAGTTCAAATAATTAATCTGATATTTTTTTAAGCTTTTATAACATCAAAATATTATTAATAATTGTTTGAAAAATTTTTCTTTTTTTTTTATTAATTAAATTATAATTTTAAAAATGTTTTTAAAAAATTACAATTATTTATTTTATTAATAATAAATTTTTTACAAGTGTAATTTTATTTTTAATAAAAAAATTAATACTTAAATAATTAATTAAAATTTTTTTTTTAGCAAATAAATAACAATAAAAATTTATTTTAAAAATTTTAGCTGTAAAAAAATAATAAAAGCAATTTTTTAAGTATAGTTTTTTTGACTAATTTAATTTTTCAAAAAAATTAAAAAATTGTCAGTTTCAAATTTAAATTTTCTAAAAAAAAAAAAACATTTTTAAATCCGTAAATTAAAGGAGTTACTAAGCAACGAAAAAACTCGCATAAATTACCATAAAATTGTAAACAGGAAATTGTTTTAAAAATATCATTTATTTTTTAGAATAAGTAGCTGTTGCTCCTTAAACCCCACACGTGAAAAAAATTCCGAGCACCTCCAATCAACATAATATACAATTGTTTCGTTGCCATGCCCACCAAATTTCCTACTATGAGCAGTCTTGATCATTTTTTAATTAAAAAAAAAAAAATGTATTTTTAAAAAATTGCATTTATAATTTTTTAAAATTTCTAAGTCAACTTTTTTTTTTGCCATCATTTATTTGTTAAAACATTAATAAATATCTGCTAAATTAATATAAAAATTAAATTAGCTGACATCTTAATATTTTACTAAATTTCATTAAAAAAATTAAGAAAATTTTAAAAATTGTTGATGCAATTTTTTAAAAATATTTTTTTGTTATTTAATTAATTTGTGTTTTTAGTAATTTAATTAATAAAAAAAAAAAATTAAAAATTGTTGATCGGCTAATTTGATGAAGTAAATTTACAACATCGAGATGGTAAGTAAAGCGTGCTATTAACTAACAAAAACAACCCATTCCAATAAATTAAAATCATTAAAATTAAATTAGCCGATGTTTTAAAATTTTGATCATTTTTTTTAATTGACAAAATTATTAAAAAATAATTTTTATTTGTAAAAAAATTATGACATTAAATTTAGCTGTCCTTTTGACAATTTTTTAACAAATTTGTTCCAAAAAATTATTAAAAAAAAAATTGAATTTTAATATAAATTAATTTAGCAGATATTTAACGATTTTAAGAATTTTTTTAACAAATAAATTATTGCAAAAAAAAAACCTTTAAAAAAATTAACGTAGAAATTTAAAAAAATAAACAATTCAATTTTCTAAAACAAATTTTTGTTAAAAAAAATTTTTTAAATGACAGTTTAATTTATGTTATATTTTTAAAAATTTCTCAAAAAGAAAAAAATTAAGATAGCCTAAAAAAATTATTATAATATTTTTTAATTAATAAAATTTTTATTATTAAAAAACTAAGTGCAATTTTAAAATAATATTTACTCCAAAAAAAAAAATTAAAATTAGCTAAATTTATTATTATAAATAAAATAAAAATTAAGTTAGCCTTAAAAAATTTTTAGAATATTTTTTAATTAAAAAAATGATTAAAAATTCTTATTCGTAAAAAAAAAACTAAAACTTGGTCCATAAAATAATTTTTAAATAGCAATTTTTATTTTTAAAAATTTCTACAAGTCATTTTTTTTGCCATAATTTGCAATAAAATTTTTAAAATAATTAAATATAAGCTGAATTAATTTCCATGAATATTTACTCGAAAAAAAAATTAAAATTGTCGGCTAACTTTATTATTATAAATTAAATAAAAATAAAATAAGCCTAAAAAAATTGTAAGAATATTTTAATGAAAATTAATTTATCATAAATTTAATAATTTTAAAAATTAGAAAAAAAAATTGACATGTAGAAATTTAAAAAAATAAAAAATGCAATTTTTTAAAAATAATTTTTTTGATAAATAAAATTAAAAAAAATTTTTATTTACAAAAAAACTATGTGCAATTTTTAAGAACTATTTACTCCAAAAAATAAATTAAAATTGTCGGCTAACTTTATTATTATTATTATTATATATTAAATGAAAAAAAACGCAAATAAAAGCTTACCCCACAGTCGGAAACGTCGTATACGGAAACATAATTCCCAAACTGACAATAATACCCAGGTACACAAAACACACTATTTAATTAATAATAAATAAAAAAATAATTATTAAAAGTATCAACAGAAACCACCAAGTATCCTCAGAGGGGTCATGTGGGTTCAAGGTTACCTGTCAATAAATCAGTCAATAATTTCCACAATTCTCACAATTAAAATCCCAAGTAACAATAAATAAAAAGGTAATAAATATTAACGAGTATCTTATAAGACTGTTTCAGTGGCCGGTGGGCCAACACACTGCTGATGCACACTGATTATTATATTCTTCCAGCAGCAGTAGCAGCAGCAGGCACCATACCAGGAGGTGGGGTGACCAGCCGACAAACTAAACCGACAGCCGACGCGCATGCGATCCTTCGGCTTCCTTCTTTTTTCCCGCGAGCGTTAAAACAAAGGACTTCATTTTAAAAACAGCTAAGTTTTTTTTATTTAATTAATTATTTATTTTTTAATAAATAAATAAAAATTAATTGTTAACTGTGATTAATTTAGAGTAAAAAAAAAAAATGACAGCTGTCTGTTAAACTAATTGTTCGCTGGTTGGATTACTGGTAAGCACTAAAGCACTGAGATAAGTAATAAATATATAATATATATTTGTGTATAGTTTACGGAAGGAGTGGGGGAAGCTCAGAACACCAGGAGATGGACCGTCAAACTGCTGCTCAGCCTAGACACTAGTCAGTATTGTGAGTACTTATTGTTGTTATTATTATTATTATTATTATTATTATTATTGTTTTGTGGAGGATATACTTTGCTAGGGAGTTGTAAGATAGACAAGGATAACTTGCAAGT